TTATTATTATTATTATTATTATTATTATTATTATTATTATTATTATTATTATTATTATTATTATTATTATTATTATTATGGATCATTGCACAGTCAGCCAGATGTTCAGACTGGATTTGGCATTTTGTCTACCTATCGAGTCCTTCCCAAGGACCTGGGATAGGCAGATGTGGATGTTTGATGGTATTACAGATATCGTCGCAGATGGAAGCAGTTTCTAGTAAGGCTGCCTTTTGCAATTGACTAATGGCGAATTTGTCAATGCCGATGATGGTGTCCAAGTGGTGCTCCAGTTGTTTTGGGATTGCACCCAAGGCGCTTATTACTATTGGTACTACCCTTGCTTGCCTTTGCCACAGTCTTTCTATTTCTATTTGTAGGTCTTTCTCGTTTATTTTGCTGTCTCCAGGCACTGCCACGTCCACTACAATTATTGTTGTTGTTGTTGTTGTTGTTGTTGTTGTTGTTGTTGTTGTTATTATTATTATTATTATTACTTCAGCAGCATCCCCGAAACTCTGTTTATTTGTTTGATTTCTACAGCCATCCGCCTCAACAAGGCATTTTGGGTGTCATTACAACATAAAATATGCCCGTGAAATCATAAATATATGGTTATTTCTTATACAGGTAGTCCTCAACGTACAGCCACAAACTTTCTATTGCTAAGTAAGACGTTTCTTAAGTGAGTTTTGCCCCATTTTGCGACCCGTGAAAGTCACTTTTTTTCCAGTGATGTCATAATTTCAAACGGTCCTTAAATAAACTGTTGTTAAGTCGAGGACTCCCTGTGCAGTTTGAAAACCATTGACCTCTGGTGAATTTAAGCCGCAGTGGAGACTGATGGGGTCTTAGGATTCTTCCCTCTGCTTTTTCAAAGTTGTTCAAAGTTGTTGCTTTGTAGCGAGGTGGGTAACATTGGAAGACACACACACACACACACACACACACACACCAGCCTGTGTGTTCTCATTTTGGGAAGGCAGGTAGACTTCCAATGGAGTGAAGATATCACCAGAAGGAGTGGAGGTGAAATTTGTCAGCCTTCTTTGTCCCAAAGGTGCTTTTTTTTTCAGAAGGCAACTGGACTTTCTTGTTTTTCTTTAAAGACGTTTTGCTTCTCATCCCAGAAGCTTCTTCAGCTCTGACTGGATGGTGGTGGGATGGAAGGATTTATACTCCTTGCAGAAAGCTGGTCATTTGCCAACTTTTAGAGAATCGTTGAGGCCACTTGGAGGCTTATCTGTGTCCTCAGGGTCACCTGAGTGGTGCAGATGGGTGTGAAGCCTTTTTGGCTGCAGGATGTTTTCTGCCCCATGTCCCTTCCCTGTTGGAGACAGGTGCAGGCTGTTGGGGATGTGTCTGTGTTGTCTGAATCTCAAACTGAAGCTCCAATGGTTCCTGTGGTCTGCCATGTTTTCTGGAAATCCGTTCATACACCCGCACCATTCAAAGGGTGTTTATTCCAAAGGGCATGGCTAAATGTCGATGGGGATTCTCCATCATCCAGGTCATGGTTGTCCCAAAGGTGTTTTTTCAGTGAAAAGGACACAGGGAAGAAAACAACATAGTCCTTCCAATGATCCCAAGGAGGCTCCACACCCATTTGCACCACTCAGGCGACCCTGAGGACACAGATAAGCCTCCAAGTGGCCTCAACAACCCTCTTAAAGAATGCAAATGACCAGATGTCTGCAAGGAGTATAAATCCTTCCGTTCCCCACCATCCAGTCAGAGCTGAAGAAGCTTCTTGGATGAGAAGTGAAACGTCTTCAAAGAAAAATAAGTCTGGTTGCCTCTTGAAAAAGCACCTTTGGGACAACTGAGGACACAGATAAACCTCCAAGTGGCCTCAACGACTCTCTAAAAGGATGCAAATGACCAGATGTCTGCAAGGAGTATAAATCCTTCCGTTCCCCACCATCCGGTCAGAGCTGAAGAAGCTTCTTGGGATGAGAAGCAAAACGTCTTCAAAGAAAAACAAGAAGCTCCAGTTGCCTCCTAAAAAAGCACCTTTGGGACAACCACGATCTGGATGGCATGAGAATCTCCATGGACATCAGCCTCCTTTCTTCCTAATATTTTTCTTCTGATTTTTCTCTAGCCGTACACAGTGAACCACCTCAAACTTGCCGCTGGAATCATGGTGACGGCCTCTCATAATCCCAAACAAGATAATGGATATAAGGTATTCCCTTGCTTAGTTTTCCTAGCAGAATTATCGTGGGATGGATTGAAGCGTTAGTGGTTACAGTGGCAGGCTAGAAACCAGGAGACGGTGAGTTGTAGTCCCACCTTAGGCACAAAAGCTGACTGGGTGGTTTTTGGGCAATCACCAGGAGACGGTGAATTCTAGTCCTGCCTTACGCAGGAAAACTGACTGAGTGACTTTGGGCCAGTCATCGGGAGACGGTGAGTTCTAGTTCTGCCTTAGGCGTGAAAGCTGGCTGAGTGACTGGGTCAGTCATCAGGAGACGGTGAATTCTAGTTCTGCCATAGGTGTGAAAGCCAGCTGGGGGGCTTTGGACCAATCACCAGGAAACGGTGAGTTCTAGTCCTGCTTAGGCATGAAAGCCCGCTGGCCTAACCCACCTCATAGTTGTGCAGTGCTGTGTTGTGTGGAAAATAGGAGGAAGGATTAGTAGATATGTCCAAGCGTTGAGTTGTTTATAAAGAGTAGAGGCAGTATGTAAGTAAATAAAATATAGATAGATAGATAGATAGATAGATAGATAGATAGATAGATAGATAGATAGATAGATAGATAGATAGATAGATAGATATAATAGAAGAGAGAGAGAGAGAGAGAGAGAGAGAGAGAGAGAGAGAGAGAGATGATAGACGATATAGGTAGGTAGGTAGATAGGTAGAGATAGATAGATAGATAGATAGATAGATAGATAGATAGATAGAT